ATGGTCACAAGGAGAAAATGAGTTAAAAAAAAAAAGAGAATAGCTACATGTGGCTAAGATCTCTCTTTTTTCTCTAATGCTTATGAAGTGGTCTTAGAGACCAAAAGCAGATATACTCAGAATTCTCTGAAGTTTCTCTATTTCTCAAAGCTGAGAAACTTCTATATTAGTAAGACTTGTTAGTGAGAAATTACTAAATCTTTCTGTCTCTCTCAACAAAAACTCATCAAATGTAAGTACAAAATTAAATCCTAACTAATTTCAGTGCTATTTTATGATTCACAACTGATTTAAAATAAAGTTTTAAAACAACCAGAAAAAGAACCTTTGTGACAGAGTCATATGTAAATATGTAGATGGAAACAAATCTGTATCAAATTGGGGTCTGGTTTCCTATTTGTTTAAATATTTATTTACAATGATCGATCTTAAATATGTCAGGATTGGGATAGATGCAGAGAAACATTCTCACTTTATTTATTATATGTATTTTATTGTCTGTCCTTTCTCACAAGAATTTCAGCCGCAGGGATTTTTGTGTTTTTTGACTTGTATTTTCTGACTTACCTCTGGGTCCGCATTAGTACTTTATAGTGATTTGACTATTAAATAAACAAGCAAATTTTTCTTGCTAATTGGAATAACTAGCCCTAAAAAAAAAGAGTACAGGATGGAGTCATAGAGAGAGCTACTGCAGCTGGTGATACAGGTCTCATGTGAACACTGACTTGTCAGCTTCATGTTTACCCTCCTAACACACACCTGGCTTCAGGGTCAGAAGAGCCAGCTCCGGCAGTGATATGGAGAATGAACAAAAAGTTCTGGGTAGGAGAGGACTGAGTTCCTAAAAGCCAACAGTGTCTAACCAGCAAAGAGAATTTAAAGAAACTACAATGGCTGTGGCATAGCTTGATCCTGAGCCTACTGTAACTATATTTCCGTCAGTAATGAAGTGGCTGAAGCCGTGGAGATAAGTAGTATTTACCAGGCCAGTCAGGTACCATGATAGGTGTTTTATGACTATTACTTCATTTCATTCTCACAAGAGCACTTCAAAGCAGTGCTTTCACCCTGACTTCAGAGATGATAAAAATGAGCCTTAAACAAATTTTGCTCAAGGAGATATAACAAGCAGACTGTGGAATCAGGCTTCACGTTCAGGTTTTAATTCAAGCTCATCATTTAAAATATTTTATTGTGCTATATAATAGACATACACATGTAACACAGTCATGATATATTACTCTTGTCATATTTTTCTGTATTAAGTTTGCTAATAGTTTTTCAGGATTTTCAACATCTGTGTTCTTGAGTAATATTGAATATTGCTGCTCTCAGCAAAAGGTTTGGTCAAAATTATCTACTCCATTGTTACTTAAATTGGATATCCTAAGACCACAGTCTTTTTATTACAAGACTCCAACTTAACCATAGAAGCTCAACTCATTCATTCAGACAAAACAATGCACAGGATAGGCAGGGGAGCAAAACAGCTGACATTTCTGATTCTCAAATACATCTTACCCAGAGAAAAATGACACCTCTGTGCCTCCAGTTGTATGTTGGCAAACTGTGCTAGCATTCCTCATTTAATCATATTAACACCTAAATCTCAGATTAATGATCAATAGGTGGCTATATGCACCACTTGTAGAGTTTTTGAAAGGGCTAAATCAACCAGTAAAATAAAGGAGAGAACACAGCACCAAGCATATGAATATTTAAACAGTATTAGCTATTATTATTTTTTCTTTCTTAATGAGGTATAAATCCACAAGATTCTGCTCAAGGATACTCTAACTACATTAGATGTAACTATATATTTTAAGTTTCTACACTTACATCAAAATAAATACTTCAAAATAAGTACTTTCCATTGCATAGAAAATTTAAAGATTAACAGTAGCTATTATTAAACTGGGGGAGAACTTATTTGCAATGAAATGGAAATATGTCTATTCTATAAATTCACTTATTTGAAATTGAAACCTTCTTAAAAATTCTTAGAAAGGCAAATCAATGATGGTCTTGAAACTTGATTTTTAAAATATATGGCAGGATGGATACAAAAGTTCCTTACCTTTTTAAAATGAGTAGCTGACTGTACTTTCCTCACAGGTTGCATAAGTGCATCACGCACAATGACACTTATGTCTGCCCCTGAATAACCATCAGTTTTCTTCCCAAGGTCTCGGAAGTCTGTTTCTGTGAGGTTGTTCTGGGTGGTCCCTAAATGCAACTTAAACATTGCTGCTCGGGCATGGGCCTCAGGCAGAGGAATATAAATTCGCTTCTCAAATCTTAAAATGAAAGAAAATTACATCAAAATTATTACTAAATATATTTTCAATAGAAAATTGGGATTTTTCAAGAGAAACACGATACTTAGATATTCTCAATTATACAAAGTTGAGTAAGTAAAATGGGCCCCTATGTGTCAGACTTTAAAGTTTACATTTAAGTTAAATAAAGGGAAAAATAACCAGAACAAGTAATTCTACCCTATGATGAACACTTTAACAAAAGTAAACCCCAAATAGCCAGGGGGACCAGTGTGGACCGGTTCATCTTTTTCAGATGGCTTCTGGGTTATTTTGGCCATAATGTTTGATGTCTAGAATTCATGACATGGCATGCCCTATAGGATTAGAGTTTCCCATACCCTATGCTCTGAACTCCTGCCTGATCAAGGGATAAATATGATTAGCCATATGAAATAAGAAATGACAAAATAATCCTCTGAATTCAAAACAGTAAAGTTACCCAAAGTCTTATATAGCATAAACATACACTAAATTCCCACTCTACTATAATGGGTATATTCAGAACAATAATTCTACCATATGATAAATGAACACTGTTTTATTAACAGTATTTCTGCTTGCCTTCTTAGAACTCCAGTATTTGGAGAGGGGAAGGAAGCAACGAGACAATTTACAGTGGTTATGAAGTCATTATTCCCTCCAAGTAACTCTCTTTGGCAGTGGGAAGAATTTTAAAAGCTTCCATTATCTCTAGAGATGGGTTCAGAATTAGGCCTTTTCCCAAAAATAATTAGTACATTTCCTGACTTGGTACTATAAGGTAATCTAGTATTCTGGCAAATTACCAAGTGAATGGGATAAAAGTAGCAAAAAAACGCTAGTCATTTTTTCTATGAAAACTTGGATGAAAGGACTAGGGAACTATGAACAAGTGAAAAGTAATGAGTCTGTATGCCTTCCCTAAAGCTCAAGTTTCAGATTCAATTTAAAAATTATAGACATGACTTGTTTAACTGAAAATATATCATGGCTATCATACTTTAACTTGTATAAATATCATTTTGCTAAAATTCTATATGAAGATTTTCATTGAAGTATCAAGCTGTATTTGTAAATTTCTGAAGCATCAGTGCCCACTATACTTAATCAGAACTAAAGGTAAGTGTTAAGTAGTAGATTTTCCAACGTGAAAGATTCCAGTACATAGAAATCTTCTATCTCCAATACAGCAGGCAAACCAACGTCTGTCTCTCTTCCCCCAAGGCAGGGGGTGCATCTGGATTAGGGCACACTAAGAAAAAATTCTGAAAAGTTATCACAATGCCTACTCACTACACAAAAGGGGGGATTTTATTCACTTGTTATATCTGTAGTTAGGAAATAAAATTATCTACTGTATCATCATACCTTCTCCTAATGGCAGAATCCAGAACCCAGGGTATATTTGTAGCTCCCAGAACCAAAATTCCATCATTGTCCACACCAACCCCTGTAGAAAGTAAGTAGTATTTTTAATAATTTGTCATTTTAGTGTTCTTTAAACCTTTTCTGTATGTTGTTAAGGATGTGGTGCTTTAATGTTAAATTGGCTCATCTTGAGAGCCTCTATGGAAAAAACTACTTAATCAAATGTATTATTAAAATACGATGCAAATATTCCCAAGAATCAAATCTGCTAGATTGTGGACAAATACTATTAATATTCTTTTCAAAATATTTCTTGGAATGATTTCACTTGATGTCTACATGTTCCTTTTATTGATATTGTTCTGGTATGTTATAGGTGAATACATGAATCTTTTTACTATTTATACCAAGTCCTATAATATAACGTATTATAATGTATGCATATAGAAGATAATCAAGAATGAAATACAGCATAAACCCTTTATCTATTAGAATAAGAAATCTTGCTTGAATTTTTTTTGCATTATTGTTATAACAATAGTTCTACAATAAATAGAAATTGTTTTAAAAATCTTTAACACTACCTTGCATTTGAACTAGGAACTCTGTCTTAATTCTACGTGCAGCTTCACTTTCATTGTCACTTCTTGAACCACACAAAGAATCAATTTCATCAATGAAGATAATGGAAGGTTTATTCTCTCTGGCAAGTTGGAATAAGTTCTTAACTAGCCTAAAAATAAATAAAAGCTTTCAGTTCCCAAAGAAAACAGTAAATGACACATGACACAATGAAAAGACTATAACAAAACAATATACAATATTGCAGGAACTCTATAAATTAATAAGTCCAATCATGTTTTGATTTGGAAAATAAGAATGCCACATTTGGCTGATTCACTTTGTGATTTATTGAACTATATGTAAACACTATCGTTTGCCTACAAAATAAATTCCAAACTAGGGACTAATTTGACAAAAAATGGACACTTATAAATGTTAATTCCCTGAAGTCTATTGATAGACTGATACAAGTAAATTTTTTTTAAAAAAAAGAAATCAATTCATTATTTACTTTTCACTTTCACCCAGCCACTTGGACACAAGGTCAGAGGAAGATATCGAAAAAAATGTCGAGTTGTTTGCTTCCGTTGCTACAGCTTTGGCCAAGTAGGACTTTCCTGTCCCAGGGGGTCCGAACAGCAGGATTCCCCTCCAAGGTGTTCTCTTTCCTAAAATTTGCATTAGAAAAATAACATAAGAATTTCAAAACTGTTGACTGCAGTTACCAGAGGTATCATCACACTGGAGTATACTGTGAAGCCATTAGCAGAATTGAAAAGAAGTTTTAATCAATCTAAGGTAACATATCTTAAATGTGTTTTTTTTTTCCCTTGAGGCTACTTTGTCAAAAACTGTTTACACAGATATAATCCTTTTAACAGGAAATTCGTTTGCTTGCTCCCTCATTCATTTAACCACTATGTATTGAAACCACAATATGCAGACAAGAGAACCATGTATACAAAAGGATCTCTGCCCTCCACGGGCATACAGTCTAGTGGGGGAAAAAGAACTATTACAAGGCACTACCTTATCATCGAGTACACATAACGCTTATTAGGAGAAATTACTTCCATAGAAGGGCAGCTGGAAATATTTTCTTTTACATATTTATGACTTTTGAAGGAGTGAAACTAACAGTAGTTGACCCTTTGCAAAGTTCTATTCAATTCTTAATTCCACAAGGAAGCATGCAGTTTATTGTTACATGCAGCATATTGTCACTCAAATGGTTGGGTCATGGTTAGGGGGCTCTGCCCTAAATCTGAGTTTTGCCAAAATACAACAAATAAACATATCAACTCTTCGTAGCTCTGTTTTCTTAATGAGAAATTATAATGCTGCCCAAAATAAACCAGACTTGGTTACACCTATTAATGAAATATCAAATATATATTTAAAAAACTGCTAAGTGCAAACTGAGGCTGGGTATATGGTATTTGCGTAAGAATGATATGCAGATGACTAATGGGGAAACTAAGTATTGTTACGAAAGCCTCAACTTTAACTTGATTTCTGTTTGTTATTTTAAATGTCTGCAATTGTAAGTCACTGCTGCTCCCTTATGTGTGGTACATACCATTGGTGGCATATGAAGTGTTATTAGGTGGTAAACAAATGCTTTTCATTTAAATATTTTTAAAATGTTATTAGAAAGGCACTAGCTTTCCATTTACTGTAGATACAAAGCAATCTTTTACAATAAAATTATTACATAAAAATAAATATGATGACTTGAAAATTCAAATACGGGCAAAACCACCTATGGTGTTAGGCATCAAGAGAATGACTGCCTTTGGGGAGGAAAGGGACTTCTGGATTGCTGGTAAAACTTCTTGATTTGGGTGATGATTACAGAGGCACATTTGCTCTGTATAATTTAGGAAGCTGAACAGTTATGAGATCTTGCACATACTTTAATAAAAAGTTTGATATGAAAGTGAGTGATTTAAAGAATAATATTTTTAAAATAAATAATGATACACATACATAGAAAAATTCATGAAGATGATGTGTTAAGAGATCATGTTCGGGAAACACTGGTATAAGTAATACAACATAAAAATGAATTCAACCATATTTTTGTACGTATAGGCTTATGATATCAACCTTTATACTGCTTAATATTCCTGAAGGTAGGTTGTAAGTCATATCTCAAAGTGAGATGGACATCAGGTGGCCGCGGTTTCTTCGGCTCTTCATCACTGTTCTACATGACATCACTGTCTAGACCTATTCAGTTTGACAAGGCCATCACAAGTTTCTTCTCTAGATAAACCAGCTTGTTTTTAAAAGGAAAAACCTCTGCTCCACAGACTGTGGGTACAGGGAAACCACAAACAACAGGCTATCAGTGACAAAAAGGACAATGTGAAAAGAATGTTTGGCACAAACGACCTCCTGATGGAGCTATAATTACAACCATATCCAGATGGGGGGTTAGTAATATTGCCCTCACACTGAGAACGAGCTGTCCCTCTGCTACTAGAGGGTAGGTACTTCATCTGCATTCTTACTCCTCTTTTTAAGAAGTGGAAATAACTCTCATATGGCCATTGCAAAAACTTCAGATGAAAGTTCAAAGAAAAAGTAACAATCACCCACAGTGTCATCTCCTAGGCATATATTAACATTTGTATGTCAATCCTTCTATATTTCTCAGCACACCCATTTATTTAACAAATGGAAGTTCAGATTATACATATTCTATAACTTCCTTTTTGATCTTTACAATGTATGTGCACATTCTTCCATGTCAATTATAAAGTAGATCCAGACTTTACACACTATATTTTAATGAGCACACAGTATTCCACTGCATGTCAGTGATTTACCCTACGGCTTACTAGTTGACATTTAGGTTGTTTTGCCGTACATAAATGTGATATAATGAGTAATAAGAAATACATTATTTGGTCATTTTTATGACCAAATACGTATTTCCTGTGTATATTTGGTCTTCATCCATAGTTCCTGAAAACACTGAAGAGTCTTAAAGGTGAAAGAGGTATTTTTTCAAGTTAGAGAGACTTCTGGACCCCCACCCAACGGCAGGGGCTCAAGGCTGAATTAGCCAATGGTCAATAACTTAGTCAATCATCACTAGGCAATGAAGCCCTCACCAAACCCCCCAGCAGAGCTTTATCCTCTCTCCGCTCTGCTCTGCCTGGCCCGACCCTGCTTCTCAGTCTGAGAGTTTCCCTGCTGGAGGAACCAGAACACCTCTACGTGCCACCGAGCCAGGCCCCAAGCTCCATCAGGATAGAAGCCTCTTTATTTGGGACCTTGTCCTATGTCTCTCTTTGGCTGGCTGTTAACTTGTACCCTTTGAAAACTGGCAAACCTAAGTGTTTTCCTGAGTCCTGTGAGCAGCTCCAGCAGATTAATCAAACCTAAAGCGGAGTGTGTGGAAACCTCCAATCTGAAGTCAGTAGGTCAGAAGCACGGGAACAGCCTGGGGCTTGTAACCAGTGCGGAGTGGGGGTGGAGGGCAGTCTTGGAGGACGAAGCCCTTAGCTTGGGGAATCTGGCGCTGTCTCTGAGTAGGTAACGTCAAAATTGAGCTGAGTTCTCTAACATCTTGCTGGTGTTTGAGAATTGCTTGGTGTTAAGCATGTGTGGGAAGACCCCCTCCCACATACTTACACACGTTGGAATTGGATCTGGGAACCCGTTGGAATTGGATCTGGGAACCCAAGTGGAGTTATACTACTATTACTGCTGTGTATAATATTGTTACTGTTATACATAAATGTAGAGAAAAAAATACACTACAGCATTTGGCATCGTATGAATTGGAATCATAGTACACTACATATATTATGTAGATACGAAATAAATATCTCTGTGTAAAGGTGTTTCACTTCTGTAACACTTAAAACAGAATTTAAGGTTATAACTCCTATAGCAGAATTTATTTAAGATTATTATAATACAGTAGCAAGAATTCATATTTACCTCAATCATCTGCATTTTTTTAGTATCATCAAAAAATTATTTAAGTCATCTCACCTGTAAAAAGATGAGGGAATTTAATAGGTAATATCACAGCTTCTTTAAGTGCTTCTTTGGCTCCTTCAAGACCAGCAACATCGCTCCATTTCACATTTGGTCGTTCTATAACAATAGCACCTACAAAAAATTATGTCACCTTTAAATTAAGAAAGAGTATTCTATTAAATTTAGAAGACAACATGAAATATTGATGCTAAAGACATTGTAAAATTGTCTGGGAATGTTTATCATCTAAAAAGCCTTTTTAAAATTGTGTGATGCGTAAGCAGCTGTCAGAGAGAAGCCAGTAGGTGTCAGGAAACTGGGGCAGGTGGCTAGATAACCTAGGTAAGTCACCTAACTCTTCTATTTCCGCTTCCTTTTTGTGAAATGAAAATAATACCATCTGCCCAAACTACTTGAGACAGGCTAGTATAAGGATCAAATGGTATAATGAATATCAGAGTGCTAGGAAAAGCGCCAAACATTACATTATGTGGTTATAATGTTTGAATACACTGGCTCTGGAGTATCAAAAGTATTTTTTCAATGGGAATGATCTACTATTATCTCCTTTTAACCAGAGAAATGGTGATCTAATGCTCTCCTTCACCACAGAAAGAAAATATCATTAACAACTTTAACTGGACACAGACGGATGGATAAAAAGACAGAAGGGAGAAGGGAAGGGGATGACGGAGAACAGAAAGAAAATGTACTCTTGTAGAACTGCAGTGCTTTCCTGAGACTTGCCAAATTTTCTATTTGGCTTCTAAATAGATCTATTTACAATTTCTGCGCATTAACAAAGTTTTTTATATGATTTAGTTTTTGAATTGCATATTCAAAAGCCGTCATAACAATTGCAGCAAGAGTGCAAAAAAATTATTTTAATATAGCTTACTGGCAAAACTTTCTAGTTCTCTTTTATCAAAAGCCTTTCCAGTTTTCTAGTACACAGAACTGCTAAACTACAAACTACAAAGTAGTCTGTTCTAAGGTGATGTGAAAATACATATATTATGTAGATACGAAATAAATATCTCTGTGTAAAGGTGTTTCACTTCTGTAACACTTAAAACAGAATTTAAGGTTATAACTCCTATAGCAGAATTTATTTAAGATTATTATAATACAGTAGCAAGAATTCATATTTACCTCAATCATCTGCATTTTTTTAGTATCATCAAAAAATTATTTAAGTCATCTCACCTGTAAAAAGATGAGGGAATTTAATAGGTAATATCACAGCTTCTTTAAGTGCTTCTTTGGCTCCTTCAAGACCAGCAACATCGCTCCATTTCACATTTGGTCGTTCTATAACAATAGCACCTACAAAAAATTATGTCACCTTTAAATTAAGAAAGAGTATTCTATTAAATTTAGAAGACAACATGAAATATTGATGCTAAAGACATTGTAAAATTGTCTGGGAATGTTTATCATCTAAAAAGCCTTTTTAAAATTGTGTGATGCGTAAGCAGCTGTCAGAGAGAAGCCAGTAGGTGTCAGGAAACTGGGGCAGGTGGCTAGATAACCTAGGTAAGTCACCTAACTCTTCTATTTCCGCTTCCTTTTTGTGAAATGAAAATAATACCATCTGCCCAAACTACTTGAGACAGGCTAGTATAAGGATCAAATGGTATAATGAATATCAGAGTGCTAGGAAAAGCGCCAAACATTACATTATGTGGTTATAATGTTTGAATACACTGGCTCTGGAGTATCAAAAGTATTTTTTCAATGGGAATGATCTACTATTATCTCCTTTTAACCAGAGAAATGGTGATCTAATGCTCTCCTTCACCACAGAAAGAAAATATCATTAACAACTTTAACTGGACACAGACGGATGGATAAAAAGACAGAAGGGAGAAGGGAAGGGGATGACGGAGAACAGAAAGAAAATGTACTCTTGTAGAACTGCAGTGCTTTCCTGAGACTTGCCAAATTTTCTATTTGGCTTCTAAATAGATCTATTTACAATTTCTGCGCATTAACAAAGTTTTTTATATGATTTAGTTTTTGAATTGCATATTCAAAAGCCGTCATAACAATTGCAGCAAGAGTGCAAAAAAATTATTTTAATATAGCTTACTGGCAAAACTTTCTAGTTCTCTTTTATCAAAAGCCTTTCCAGTTTTCTAGTACACAGAACTGCTAAACTACAAACTACAAAGTAGTCTGTTCTAAGGTGATGTGAAATTGTTTTAAGTATAACAAAACATTGCTACTTACACAATCTACTGATTATCTTTAAAATTAATTTTATGGGTATTTCTTGCTAGGAAAGATCATGTATTATTTTAAGAGTAGTTATATACCCTGCAACTTACTTCCCTTAATTATGAAAATCTCTAGCTACAGATTAAAATTAAATGAAATCATAAACACTTTACATTCTTATGGTTCAGACTAAGTATAATTTAGAAAAAAAGCCAATTCAGTCTTTCTTTTCTATGTTCCATTCAGATTAGTAACCCTTCATGAGAATACATTTACATCATTTGATAGGATTTTGTGTTGGTTAGATGAAAGAAAATTTACTTTATATATAAGCATTATCTGGTTAACTACAGGTTTTTGCAATGAATCTTCTAAATATGCCATAATTTATCTTCGCATTTAGCTAATACTTTTTAAAGTTTAAAGATGACTTTGGAATGTTTAGTGATAAAAGATTACTTAGATAATAACACTAATTACTAGACATCAGTAAATCGTTTGTAAACTTAAAATAGAGAAGAGGTATTATCAGAAAATAAACACCAAATAATTTGATTACTTCCAATTACATAAACTCATCCAGTCTTTGATTATGCTATTTATTATACTTATATGTTATTTAGCCTTAGATAGCCACTGAATACCAAAATTACTTAACAGAAAATTCAAATCATAAACTCTAACTTGAATAACCAAATATTACTCCTAATGTCATGACCCTTAGAGAAATAAAAGTTAAAATACTGTTTCAGGAAAATGAAGATTCAAAAAAGGATATTATACAATGAAATCCATCAGCAAACTCTTCAATTAATAAATGGAAAAAAGGATTCAGATATAAAAGGCTTTTCATATTCTACTTCATTCTGAAATCCCAAATAAATTCCCTCATTAAATATTAAAAGCATTTATTTTTTTATATATATTTGGTCCTTATCATTATTGATTTTCAAAGAAAAATTCTATATTAAAAATTGGGCTGTATATTTTTCAAAATCAAAGATATAATCCAATTTTTACTTTGGGGAAGTGCAGAGAGGGTGAAGAAAATCAAAAGAACAAACAGAAAAGAGCTTTTTGCCTTGCAACTGAAATTAAGGCCCTTGGTACTATCACTGGGGTTGCCCAACAAAACCTTACTGAGCTCCAAGTGTGCGCCCACACTGCTCCGGGGAGGCAATGATGGTGTGGTAGTGGAAATTCAGTTTCTGACTTGGAACTATATACACAATTGAAGTCCTTGGCCTATAAAAATATCCTCATTAACTGTAGTGTTTTCAAGATAATATCCTTATAGTATTCTCCTTTACATTCCAGTGAGGTTGTAAATTTACCACTTGGTAATATTACCAAAATGAAGACACTAGAACAACAAGGTTAAAGGTCTGGCGAAGCTGGGTATATTCATCATTCACTAATCAAGGCTGCCCTGACATAATGGAAATCCTCCCCTAATAATGCATTCTATTCAGCAATATTCAAAGTAGCACAATACACAAAATTCACCTTGAAAAATCATGAGCTAACATATCAAAGAACAATCAAGTCTCAGTGACTAAAGATGCCAGCATTTTTGGATACACAGAGCTGCCATTTATTGAGTCCCTAAAATTTGTCAGATATAATAATTAGGCAGTTTTTACTTTGCCATTCATCATTTATGGCCCTGGGAGGAAGGTATTATTAATTTCCATTTCAGAGCTGGAGTCTTGGAGAAGTTGGGGAACTTGACCAAAATTAGGCAGCTTTTAAGTAGTGGAGTGGAATCCAGACCTGAATGGAACCAAAATCAATGCTCTCTCCATGATGCCACTGTACTCGGGGAGGAGAAATCAATGGCTTCCACAGGTATGGAAAGTAAAGAGAGAAAGCTGGAAGAGATAGGTAAATGGCAACACTGAGACAGGATAAAAAGATAAGGAGGAACAGGAAACACAAAGTAAACCATCAGTGAATAAGCTACAGCAATAAAAGCCAAGTGTGAGTCCTAATTCACTCTATTCCTCTGACAGTTCAGGAATTTAGCACCACCACGCTTCGTAGCGTGCTAATAGTATAAATGCTACATTCTCCAAAAGGGGACACGTAAGACAAAAAGGAAAAAGACTGACAAGTTTCTAAAGGCAGATATAAAACCAATAATATTTATACTGCAAGAAAAAAACCCCAACCTATTAGAAATCCTGTACAACAAATCCTGTGAAAATATGTCTAAACAAAGCCAGTATGTGACCACTGGGAACCAAAGACAGCTTGTGAACCTCATTTAAATACAGGGAAAAGAAACCAACAATTCACTACGATTAAAAAAAATGTAAGACAGTAAATTTAAAAATGAAATCTAAAGCAACCTTGAAGTTGATTCTGTAGTTTCTTTTTCTCAGGATCATCAGATTCTCCTTCCCCATCACTGTCATTCCTAATAAAAAGAATTTAATATATTCAAGTGATCATTCATTGCTATTAAATAAGGCAAAAATGAAAAAAAGATTAACCTGAAATATTTTTAAGTGGCAAAAAAAGATGTTTGTATTAAAATTATGCTTATTACTTTTAATAAATTATTAAATGAAGTAGTAAGCAGACATATTATCCATCTGTATGGAATCACAACAAGAAAGGGGCAAAAGACCAGAATGAAGTCAGGACTTAGTTCTCAATTCCCATGACACCTCGGTATATATATAAACTGATAAATGCACCTCCACATCCACTCCACAGAAGATTTAAGACGCATTACAGGAGAGCTGTAAATAACAATAAAAACAACGGGAACAGGCAAACTACATTAGAACAGGCCGTAACTAGGAGGAAAAACCCCAGAATATTACATCAGGTACAAAGATCGATAACCCTTGGTCTGGGGATTCCGAAGGAAGAATGAAGTTTCTGATGAAAACAAACTGAATCCAAAGAACAAGGAAGGAGATCAGCTCAGACATTTCACACTCAGCAATTTATTTGGAGGAAGTAATTTAAAGTAAGTTCAAGAATCTGGCCATAAGGATAATCATGCCCACATTGTTCCCAAGTATGTTTGCCCAATTATAGGGATTAGCATCTGATAGAATACACTACAATCTTTAAAAATGATGTTACAGAAAGTTTATTGGGAAGATGTTTATAATACAATGTTGAGTGAAAAGGCAAAAAAATGCAGCTTCACAACATTTTTTCCATGTAGGATATAAAGGGGGATAAAAAAGCTTGACAGGTTTTATCCCCAAACAAAGGTGCTTTGGTTATCACAGGATGGCAGGTACGGGTGAGGCAGAGACTGCACCCTGACTCCCCTGACGCCACTCCAACCTCCTACCCTGACTTCTTGTCCAGTAAAGACTCTATTTAAAAAAAAAAATATGGAGCCTCCTGGGGCTCCCTTGCAGCTAGGGCTCACAAGACATCAAGTTCTTCCAGGAGGCAGACGCAAGCGAGGTGGGGGCTGCACGCAAGATCAGGCTGCCGGCACAAGCACTGGCTTTGCTGAGGGGGCTGTGGCAGAGGTCCTACTGCCCACTCCCTGGGTTTGCAAGGGCTTGGCAGGGTAGCTGGTGGAAATGGGATCCCTATCAGAACAACCCCAGTGGAGAAACTGCATTCAAGTTGGATTCCCCAGCCCCTCAAATCCGTATGTAAGGTAATACCCTGTAATAAGTCCCTTTTTGCTTAAATTACCCAAATTGGGTCATGCTGTTCAAGATAGAAGAACTGGCATCAGCCTGTAGGCAACCATCTCAGGAAAGGCGACTTCAGTGTCTTCAAGCAAGACCAGGAGAGCCTCAACTCACAGGGAGGAAGCAAACATTTCTGTAGGCAGGGGAGTCTCAGGGAGAGTGGGGGGTCTGAGCACTATAAGTCATCTGAATTCCTCCCAGTAGTTGCATTTCAACTTTGGAGTCCCTGTCTTCCAAGAAATGCCCCAACTTTCATAGAAGAAACCTGATGAGGTTGAATCTGGTACGAATTTGTTATGTCAATCCTGTAGCTGCAGAAGATAAAATATTCTTCAGTGTCACAGGAACTTCCTGTTCCTGGACCATGTCTTCAACAGAGAATATAAAACCTTGAGCGTATCGCTTTCTTCACAATCTCCCATGTAGAGGCAGTCAGCTCTACTTCTTGTATTACTCATGTCCTTCAAAATGGCCTGGGTGGTGGCCACAGAGCCCCCGAAGCACTGCCTTCAGGGCACCCCACTCACAGGGGCCACAGAGGATTTACCCAAGTAACTGAGTTCCACGATGTGAGTATCGCATTCTGTAAAGCCAACCAGAACTGCTTGCCTTTCAGATCCAACCAGAAAACCCCATCCCACAGTCTCATTTCTGTAAGAGTATATTATCACCCGGAATGGTCAGAGGCTCTGAGTAGAGTATGTCCCACTGCTTAACAGAGAGTCTGAGACACACATATTAGGTGATGAATAAGTAAATTCTGCATCTGTAAGTGATGTATCCCCCATCTAGGAAGGTATTTCAAAATTGGGTTTTAATGTTTACAAATTATGCTGCACTGCTTTCTTTAGAATGGCAAAATAAAAGCAAATGCAATGGAAACCCACATCCAAAAACTTCACAGGAGATATCCTAAAATGTATTTACATTACTGGAGTTATTTTTCATTTTGTCCATGTGCTTATTAGTACCAAGAGTCAATACTGCTAGTCAAAGATTTAATTCACAGATCACACCTATAATTTTAAACTTCAATACTACATAATGGTCAGGGTAAAGAACCAAGTGCCTCTACTACAAATGCTTTTTCCTACTACTACCAAGAGGTCAGAAAGGGTTGTATAAGGCATCATCCAAGCTTGGTAAACTAGAGGTCAGCAAACCTTCTCTGTGAAGGACCAGACAGTGAACATTTTAGGTTTTGTGAGTCACAGTCTGTGTCAAAACTGCTTCACTTTGTTGGTATAGAACAAAAGCAGCCCAGACAGTAGGCAAGTGCATGAGACTATGTTCCAATAAAACTTTAAGACAGGCAGCAGAACAGATTTGGCCTATGACTTTGGCTTGCCAACACCTAGTTTGAACAAAAGAAATTTACTTCACATATTAAATTCAATTTTATCTTTTAATTAGGTAACAGTAAAATCTACCACTCTAAAATACATACCCCTTCTCATCAGCTGGACTCGGCTGTCCTTCTTTCACTGGCTTCTGTGGTGTTTTCTCTTTCTTTTTCAGATATTCCTTTAGTTTTTCTGCTCTATCAAGATACTCTGTACACTTTGCTCTGATACTCTGCTTGGCTTTATCAACCTGTGTTTCATCTATTGAAGGGAAATAAGAGATTTTCTGTAAGTATTCTATATAGGCAGGTTTAAACTTAGATACGCTTTTTTAAAACATTTTTTATTAAGGCATGATCGATATACACTCTTATGAAGGTTTCACATGAAAAAACAATGTGGTTACTACATTTACCCAAATTATCAAGTCCCCACCCACACCCCAATGCAGTCACTGTTCATCAGTGCAGCAAGATGCCACAGATCCACTATGTGCCTTCTCTGTGCTACACTGTTCCCCCCGTGATCCCCCACACCATGTGTACTGAACATAATACCCCTCAGTCCCCTTCTCCTTCCCTCCCCACCCGACCTCCCATACCCCTCCCCTTTGGTAACCACTAGTTCATTCTTAGAGTCTCTGAGTCTGCTGCTATTTTGTTCCTTCAGTTTTGCTTCATTGTTATACTCCACAAATGAGGAAAATCATTTGTCATTTGTCTTTCTCCGCCTGGCTTATTTCACTGAGCATAATGTCCTCCAGCTCCATCCATGTTGTTGCAAACGGTAGATTTGTTTCTTTCTTATGGCTGAATAGTATTCCATTGTGTATATGTGCCATATCTTCATTATCCATTCATCTACTGATGGACACTTAGGTTGCTTCCATATCTTGGCTATTGTAAATAGTGCTGCAATAAACATAGGGGTGCGTATGTCTTTTTGAATCTGAGAAGTTGTACTCTTTGGGTAAATTTCAAGGAGTGGGATTCCCGGGTCAAATGGTACTTCTATTTTTAGTTTTTTAAGGAACCTCCATACTGCCTTCCACAATGGTTGAACTAGCTTACATTCCCACCAGCAGTGTAGGAGGGTTCCCCTTTCTCCGCATCCTTGCCAGCATTTGTTGTTCTTTGTCTTTTTGATGCTGGCCATCCTTACTGGTACGAGGTGATATCTCATTGTGGTTTTAATTTGCATTTCCCTAATGATTAGTGATGTGGAGCAACTTTTTCATGTGTCTGTTGGCCATCTGAATTTCTTCTTTGGAGAACTGTCTCTTCATATCCTCTGCCCATCTGTTAATCGGGTTATTTGCTTTTTGGGTGTTGAGGCATGTAAGTTCTTTATATATTTTGGATGTTAACCCCTTGTTGGATATGTCATTTACAAATATATTCTCCCATACTGTAGGATGCCTTTTTGTTCTGTTGATGGTATCCTTTGTCATACAGAAACTTCTTAGTTTGATGTGGTCCCACGAATTCATTTTTGCTTTTGTTTCCCTTGCTCAAGGAGATGCGTTCAGGAAGAAGTTGCTCACGCTTATATTCAGGAGATGTTTGCCTATGTTGTCTTCTAAGAGTTTTATGGTTTCATGACTTACATTCAAGTCTTTAATCCATTTTTAGTTTACTTTTATGTATGGGGTTAAACAATGATCCAGTTTCATTCTCTTGCATGTAGCTGTCCAGTTTTGCCAATACCAGCTGTGGAAGAGGCTGTCATTTCCCCATTGTATATTCATGGCTCCTTTATTGTATATTAATTGACCATATATGGTTGGGTTTATATCAGGGCTCTTGAGTCTGTTTCATTGGTCGATGGGTCTGTTCTTGTACCAGTACCAAATTGTCTTGATTACTGCGGCTTTGTAGTAGAGCTTGAAGTTGGGAAGCAAAATGCCCCCAGCTTTATTCTTCCTTCTGAGAATTGCTTTGTCTATTTGAGGTCTTTGTGGTTCCATATGAATTTTAGAACAATTTTCTCTAGTTCGTTGAAGAATGCTGTTGGTATTTTGACAGGAATTGCATAGAATCTATAGATTGCTTTGGGCAGGATGACCATTTGGACAATATTAATTCTTCCTATCCATGAGCACGGGATGTGTTTCCATTTATTGGTATCTTCTTTAATTTCTCTCAGGAGTGTCTTGTAGTTTTCAGGGTATAGCTCTTTCACTTCCTTGGTTAGGTTTATTCCTAGGTATTTTATTCTTTTTAATGCAACTGTGACTGGAATTGTTTTCCTGATTTCTCCCTCTGCTAGTTCTTGTTAGTGTATAGGAATGCCACAGATTTCTGTGTATTAGTTTTGTATTCTGCAACTTTGCTGAATTCAGATATTAGATCTAGTAGTTTTGGAGTGGATTCTTTTAGGTTTTTTATGTACAATATCATGTCATCTGCAAACAGGGACAGTTTAACTTCTTCCTTGCCAATCTGGATGCCTTTTATTTCTTTGTGTTGTGTGATCGCCGTGGCTAGGACCTCCAGTACTAGGTTGAATAGAAGTGGGGAAAGTGGGCATCCTTGTCTTGTTCCCGATCTTAAAGGAAAAGCTTTCAGCTTCTAGATATGCTTTTTAAATGAGGAAAATTTATTTTGGGGGAGGGGGAAAGATCATTTTTAGGTCATAACCAAGGGTTATTAATTTTTTCTACTACTTCCTCCAGTAGAGTTGGAGGCCAACAGTGGGTTTCAGTCAGAAAGAGATCTGAGCAAAGACACCAGATATTTTAAATTCATGTTAAGTAAAAGAAAACATTATTTAATATTCTGTGCATTTCATACTCTCCCTTTTACTTTGTGCAGATAGCTGAAAATTGCTTGTCTCATTCAAAACCAATTACAAGACAAACCTAAGTAAAGCAATACTGAACATTTCCATTAACATCTACATAGTTTTATTTCAGAGTATAAAAAGTGATAGGAATCCATGTATTATGTATACTACCAGCATAGTAATTTTACTACATACAGGCCTCCAAGAGGGCTTTGTCAAAAGCAGACTTCAGCAAATATATGCAGTGCCTGGGAGTATCTCCATGTATCTTGTACATTACGATGCATTCTTAGTTTTGCCTTAATTTGACAGAAAACCTCAAAATTCAATAAGGAAGCTCAAAGGAGAGTCATAAATTATCAGGCTAGATTTTTTATTTAAAAGTAACTTTAAGTTTGCCAGAAATGTAATTTTTTATTGTCTTATTTCATGTATGTTCAGCAATAGGTTTAAGACCCAAGAAGGCAAGGGTTTTTATCCATTTTTTCCTCACTATTGTGTCTCAGTGTCTAGAATAGTTACTGGCATACAGTAAACATGCAATACATATTTGGAATATATATGAATAAAATGTCTCCCAACCTATCTTAAAAAGAGCATTTTCAGGAAGATGCTTAGAACATAAGCAGGCTCAGATTATATAAACTGGATATACAACCAATAAAATAAAAACTTATTTCCACTCACTGCATGATACTTTACTATGTTTAGGTGAACAAATAGTAACTATGATACCTGGGCACATTTGTTAGCTGAGTACTTCAAAATTACTAACAAGCAAGTGGGAAATTGTTTTTCTAAACTGATGGTTTAGAATTTTCTGGCATTGTGTTTCATATTTCAATTCTTATAATGAAACAGAATAATCTTTCCTTTGGTGTTTTTAAATAAAAAACAAACAATGACCTTACATTTTATTACATGGAGAAAATACTGTACAGCATGTTGGTAGAGCTGAAGGGCTTCCTCATAGTTCCCAGCTTTGTCTTCCTGGGCTGCTTTGCTAGCAAGATCTATTGCTTTCTGTTTGAAAGGAGGCAAAATCATACCATCAAAATGAAAGCATAAGCATAAGTCTGAAGTAAATCATCATATTAAAACGTTTTTAAAAAAATAAAAGCAAGCTGAAAACAAATCCATCTTTTCCTAAATCACAATTGTATTTTATTTCAAATTATATGTATTTATAACATGTAAATTATATAGGTAAATACTATCTAAATACTACTTTATCTAGTACCAATCACTAAGATTCTCATATAATATTTACTCAACAAAAGTCAAGCTTAGGCTAGTAAGTAATAATAGGAATAATATGAAAAGTCAAACTAAAAGCATTCAGGGAAATTCTCAAAAATCCAAAGTTGCTATAGCTATCGAATATAACGAGAGTAAAATGTAAATAGGGTAAAATCCCTTCAGAAGCTATGGGGCAATGAAATATCAAGAATCTGAAAAATCCCCAAATCTTTTCACTCAGCAATTAACTAAGAGGCTTACTGAGTAATGATAGTAACAAGAGAAGTCTTTAAAAAAAAACACCAAAACCTTGAAATTTAAATTTTGAACAGCAAAATGATGCCACAGAATATATTATAGGATCATTAAAATAATATTAAGAAACATTTGTAATAATGTGAAAAAAGTTTTTAATGGAAGTTTTTAAAAAGCAAGATATAATATTTACACATAGCATGAAGTCAAGTGTTTGAAATGAGAAAAAAGGGAAAGCACAGGACAAAGATGTAAAGGAAATTTAACAGAACTTAACCTTGATAAGAACTAATTTTTTTCATTTTCTGCTTTTTCACATCTTCTAAAAATGCCCATATTGAACATATAAAAGTTTCGTAGTATTAAAAAAATTCCCAGAAATAAACCCATACAAATATGTCCAGATGACTTTTGACAATGATACAAAAGCAAGTGAATAGTGAAAGGATGGGCTTTTAAAGAAATGGTGTCAAAACAACTGGCCAGCCATAAGCAACAAACAAAAACAAGAATCCAAAAGAGAATCTCAACTGTCAACCTAAACTCCACACTTTGTACAAAAATTAACTCATAATAGACGATGGATTTAAATATAAAACATAAAACTTTTATAGTTTTATAGATTTTATATCTCCAGAAAAACAACAAAATCTTCCTTATCTAAGGCTAGGCAAAAAGTACTTGAAGTTGACACCGAAAGCACAATATATAAAAAGAAAAAATGAAAACAGTATGGTATTGGCATAAAAACAGACACACAGATCAAAGGAACAGAACAGAGAACCCAGACAGAAACCTGTGTGTATACAGTTAACTACTTTAACACAAAGGTGCCAAGAATATAGAACGGTGAGAGGACAGTGTCTTCAGTAAATGATGTCTGGGAAAACTGGGAGCCACATGCTAAAGAATGAAACTGGACCACTATCTTACACCATACACAAAAATTAACTCAAAATGGATTAAGATTTGAACCTAAGCCCTGAAACCATAAAACTGCTTGAAGGAAACACACCAAGTAAGCTCCTTGACATTGGCTTTGGCAATTTTTAGGATTTGACAACAAAAGCAAAAATGACCATGTGGGATAACATCAAACTAAAAGGCTTCTGCATAGCAATGAAAACCAGCAGCAAGATGGAAGGGCAAAGTGCCATATGGGAGAATATATTTGCAAATCATCTATCTGATTAAGGGTTAATATTCAAAATAGATAAAGAACTCAAATGACTGAACAGCAAAAAAAAAATCTGATCAAAAAATGGGCAGAGGATCTGAACATTTTTCCAAAGAAGACAGACATACAGATGGCCAAGAACTACATGAAGAGTGCTCACCATCACTAATCATTGGGGAAATGCAAATCAAACAAGGAGATACATCTAACAAATGTAACAATGCCACATCTGTTAGAATGGCTCTTCTCAAAAAGACAAGAAATAACAAGTGTCAGCGAGGATGTGGACCAAAGTGAACCCTTGTACACTGTTGGTAGGAATGTATATCAGTGCAACTTCTATGGAAAACACTATGAAGGTTACTAAAAAAATTAGAAATAGAAATCTATTAATCCCACTCCTGGATATTTATTCAAAGAAAACAAAAACACTAGCTCAAAAAGATACATGCACCCCCTTGTACACTGCAGCATTATTTACCATAGCCAAGATATGGAAACAACCCAAGTGTCCATCAACTGATGAATGGGTAAAGAAAATGTCACACACACACACACACACACACACACACACACACACACACACACACACAGGAATATTATTCAACCATTAAAAAAAAGAAGGCAGTAACTTGAATGGACCCTGATGGAATTATGCTAAGTTAAAAAAGTCAGACAGGAAGAGGTACATGATGCCGCTTCAAAATGCCCTATGATCTCACTTACATGTGTAATCTAAAAACAAACAAAATCTAAGTTTAATGATACAGAAAACAGAGTAAGTGGTTACCAGAGGCAGGGGTGGGCAAAATGGGTGAAGAGAGCTCAGTGGTCAAACTTCCAGCTATAAAATAATTGAGTCATGTGGATGTAATGTACAGCATGGTGACTATAGTTAATAATAGTGTTCTGCATATTTGAAAGCTGTTGAGAGAATAAACGTTAAAAGTTCTTATCACAAGAAAAATAATTTCTATGACTCTGTATGGTGACAGATGCTGAGTAGGCTTATTGTGGTGATTATCTCACAATAAATACAATTATCATATTGTATACCTGCAACTAATATAATGGTTTATGTCTATTATATCTCAAAAAAAGATAAAGATATACTGGACTTCATACAACTTAAAAAGTTTTGGTCTGTAAAAAATCTGTTTCAAAAGATGAAAAGACAAGCTACAGACTAGGAGAAATATCTGCCAACCATATGTTAGAGAAAGGACTAATAGCTAGACTATAGAAAGAATTCTGAAAACTCAACAGTTTAAAAAGAATCCAAGTAGAAAATGAGCTAACGACATGAACAGACATTTCACCTAAGTGGATACAGAGATGGCAAGTAAGCACACAGTAAAATGTTCTGTTAATCATTACCCATTAGGGAAATACAAATTAAATACACAATAAGAGATCACTACACACCTATAAGAAGCGCTAAAATAAAAAAGTGACAATAATGCCACATTCTGGCGAGGATACAGAGAACTGGAACACACATTGGTACAAGGTAAAACGGTACAGCTACTCTGGGAAGCTGGTTTGCTGGTTTTAACAAATTGAAACATCCAATTATCATATGAACCAGTAACTGCACTCCTTGGCATTTAGCCCTGAGAAATGAAGATACAGGTTCAAACAAAAACTTGTACATGAACATTCCAGATGTCCTTCAATGATGGCATGGTTAAACAAATTGTGCTATGCCTATACCACGGAGTAACATTCAGTAACCAAAAGGAACGTAACTAATCATACACACAACTTGAATGCATCTTATGGAATCATGCTAAGTGAAAAGAATCAATCCTGAACAGTTACATATTTATGATCCCATTTATACAATTTCTCAAAATGACAAAATTGGAGATGGAGAACAGATTAGTAGTGAAAGGAGACCAGGATGATGGGGGGAAGAGAAAGGTGACTGGTTATAAAAGGGCAACATGAGGGATCTGTGTGGACAGAACGATTCTGTATCATGACTGTGATAGGGGATACAGAAACTACCCATGCAACAGAACCCTGCACATGTGAGTGCACACACACACACACAAATACAGATACACGAGTACAAGTAAAACGGGGAATCTGAGTAAGACAGGTGGAAAGTATCAATGTCCACATCTGCATTGTAATATTGTCTTATAGTGTTATAAGGTGCCACCACTGGGCGGGTAACTGGGTGAAGGGTAAGCTCTCTCTGCATTCTTACAACTGCATGTGAATCTACATTTATCTCAAAATAAAATTTTATTAAAATCTATCTTTAATATTTAAAAATATGCACACACATTAAATAAGGAGCAAGTACTGTTTACTAAAACATTCCACCTGGATTAATTTATGCAGTAAAACTGTATTCAGCAGAAATAAGAACTGTGGAAAAAAATGACCATGGTTATACTGCATTAAAAATAAGCATATCATTAAGATAAGAAAAAATTACTCAATCTAAAAACTTATCATTTGTAGGAGTACTGAATTTTGAAGCAGCGGCTCACTGACTGCCTAAAGATGGGGTGAAGCAGTGAATGGGAGGAACAGGCCTTCCATCTGTTGCAGCAGGAGGGAAGAAAAGCAGTAGTATGTTTTAGAATTGATGAAATGCAGTAGTACGCGTTTCACAGCCTAAACTTAAACCTAAATCTTCAGAAGTCTGGTAAGCTAGGCAGAATATAAAGGGTGGAGTCAGAGCGCACAGTCAACGGGTGGTCTGGTCCACTTGGTCATATAAAAATGGTCCTGAAGGCTCAGTGTCCAAGCCATGTGGGAGAAACAAGCTCTTTCTTATTCTGGCTCTTATTTTCTTCTCTTATTTTGAATTGCTGTGCCACTCACCTCTTTGCAGTCAGCCCTCTTTCAGGCACCACTTTGTTAAAGAAAAACTCTTAGTATTTAATAATCCAGCTGCAAACATGCTACCAATGACAGCCTTGCTCTGCTGATGGATATGTCCATATTTGCATTGTCCAATATGGAAGCTGCTAGCCACATACAGCTTTTGAGCACTCATGGCTAGTGTGACTGAGGAGTGAGTTTTACATTTCATGTATGGACAGTTTTAAATAGCCACATGAAACTACCTGGACAGTACTGGACAGTGCATGCCACATTTTAATCAAAGATGATGATTTGAGGAGATGTGCATCTGTTTTTTCCCCTGCTCAGTTATGTCTCATATGGTTTTGGAATGCCTATTATCCTTCTGGAATATAACCCTCACTGTCCCCATTGCTACCACCCTAGTTCAATCCCCTACCACATTTGTCAAAACCACTGCCTAGGCTCTTAAGGGCAGCCTGCTTTCACACTTCACACCCTGAAGTCCATTCAGCAATGAGTGAGGGGCGCCCTCTGATGGCTTCCCACCACCAACAATAAAACCCAAATGCTGGGTCACGGTCTTCAAGGCCTTCAGAGGCCTGGGCCCTGGCTCCATCTGGGCCTCGCCTGAAACCCTCGAGTCCTCCACACTCCAGCAGTCTGTGCACTGCTGATCCCTCTGCCTAGAACACTCTTTCCCCAGATAGATGTGGGATAGTCTCCTTTCTGGTGATAGTTCACATGCCAAGTCCTCAGGCTTCCCTCCCTCATCTTCTACTTCGAAGACTGCCTGTTGTCACTCACAAGTGGGCACTGAAAGGTGTGTTTCCAGCTTTGATGGTTTCAGTGGCAGCTCCTTGAATAAGGCATGATTCCTGTTTCCAAAGAGTTTTAAGATTTGTTCCTGTATTGAGACATCAGCAAAAGACAGTCTGAGAAATAAGTGTGAGCTGAGCATTGCAGGTAGCAGATGCTGCAGGAGGGAGAAGAGCTGCTCTGGCTACGAGAGGGACACACTCTTGAGCTGGCCCTTGGTGGAGGGAGGGCAGAGGCGGGGGTAGGCACGGAGGCAGGATGGTGCTGACCACGTTGTTTGTGCATGTTCTTCTCACAGAGGTTTTGCAGAAGATTCTTATTTCCCAATTGTTTCATAAGTTCATCTACGCTATGGACATTCTTTTTAGCTTAGCACGGGAAGAAAAGTGGGTGTCATCTACTGGATGCATGAGCTTGGCTAGACCACACATCTGTGCTAAGTCCAATTTCCTCAACAGTTAAAGCTAATATTCCACAGGGTCTACCCGGATCCTTGTTTTTTCTCCTTCTATGTACTTTCCACGGTGCCCATAACCTCTGCTACCATCTGTATGCTAACTCTCAAATCCTTATTTCCAGGCCAGCTCTCTCTAGTTCTACACAAATGTATCCTTGTCTAGTTGTACACAAACGGATCACTGGACATTCTCACTTGATTGTCCCCACAGTCTCAAACTCAGAAAGTTCAAGATGACCCTGGCCCCAAATACACCCCTCTTGTAATCCCAGAGCCAACCAATTCTTACCGAGAGAGCCAATCTAGGAATGGGGGAGGAAATCCAGACCTTCCCCCAACCTCCCTCCCTTTCTACATGCAGACCCAAGCCCGACCATTCTTTCTCTTCAGTTTGTGTCTGATGGATCCTTTCTCTGGACCTCACCATCTGCCATTACATAGGACCCTGTCCCTAACTGCTCTCCCTGCTTACAAGACAAATTGCTCCCAGACAAGCTGTCCCCTAAAGACACGACAGTTTCGTTCTAAAACAAAAATCTGAGCACTTCATCTTCTATGACTCCCATCTTTGACAGGATGAGGACCAATCAGCTGTACATGGCACACACCTCTTCTGTGATAGAGCCTGACACCCTCGGTTCCAGTCATACCAAACTACTGGGACAACGCAGATGACTCAGATTTCATGCCTCGGTACACAGTGTCCTCTCCACCTGAAACACCCCATCCCACTGTCTCTCTGTAAGACTCAAGCTTCTTTAAGACTCAGCACAGTCATGGACCTCTTGCAGGGGTCCCCTCCCCAACACCGCCAGGTGGCCTAGCCTATGCTTCCTCTAAATTTCTACTGCCTCTTGTACATAATTCCAAAGATCACAGTTTCTCATTAGTCACTTTATTATTTTCACATGGGAATATAAGCCCTTGGAAATCAAGGATGATGTATTTATTTTATGATTCTCCAAGACTTAGCAAAATGCAGGGCATATTTAGGACTGAGCAAACTTTGAGTTCTACGCATACTGCATTCCTTGCAATTTCTCCCAACCCTCTCCAAGGTTTATTACACTTCCAGACTGAGATACATGTTCTTTCCCTGGGCCTAGAATGCATCCCCATTTTCTTGTCTAAGGAGGCTCAACTTTAGAGTGAAAAAAGCACAAACTCATTAGCACATAAACCTGGACTGAAAACTATCTTCAACACTAATTAACTGTATGTCTTGGGCAAATCATAACCTTATTATAAGCTTTGGTTTCTCACAATGGGAAACTGGAATAACATTCATCTTGAAGAGTTGTTCTGAGGAATAAAAACAGCATTTCAAACAAGAGGCAGACAATTAAGGGTAACTAAGCTCACATCACCTTCTCTGAGGAACATTCCTCATTTATCCTTGAAGAGTTAAGGTAGATAAGCCCTTCCTTTCAGCCTACCCGCACTAACTTCTACTACAGCATTAATGCATTATTTTACAATTTTGATTTTTAGTTTTCTGCGTTCTTCCATTAGATTGTAAGCATCTCTCTTACAATAAGGGGAATTTTGCCCTGTTCAGTGAGAAAGTTATTCACCATATGAATATTCTTCATCCAAATTTTCTAAGTTAGAAGGTTGAAAAGATATTGAGAAAGAGTACCTGTGGTCCAACTGCTGATAAAATTATAACTCAACCTATCTCCGTTTCACACAAGCAACTATGCCTTTAACATGGGTCAAACTCTGACTCATTAGAAAACACCCAATAATCAACTCAAATACTGATACTCAAACTGATTACAGAATGAAATCACAAATCTTGCAAAAGAAATCAGTAAACAGATGAAAATTATATTAAAGAATACCTAAATCACATGCCACATCTTGGCAATTGGAAAGCTGGTGGCATTAAACAAGACAACTGACAAGCCAACAGGGATAAAGACTGGATGGGCAGTTCAAAAGAAAACACCGTTATACGTAAAGAATACATTTATCAAATAACCAATATTGTTTCCAAGTACATTTACCAAAAAGACCCTTTCTGAATGAGACTACAAAAAAAAATGTTACGTGAAGATTGTTTTATCATAGTTTAATGCAATCTTGTTGGAAAGATACACAAATCAACACGACTTACCTTTTTTAAGTATTATTGATATACACTCTTATGAAGGTTTCACATGAAAAACAATGTCGTTACTACATTCACCCATACTATCGAGTCCCCCTCATACCCCACTGCAGTCACTGTCCATCAGTGTAGTAAGTGTAGTAAGACGCCACAGTGTCACTATTTGCACTATGTGCTACAGTCATTCCCATGATCTCCCCTCCACACCAAAACATGACTTACTCTGAGAATATATGTCACAGTTGCAATGGCGATATTTTGTGAATGATGTGAGAGATTTATTTTCATAATCTTTTGGGTTTTCAAGATAAAAGTCCCAAGCAAGCCCTCCCCAGGTCCTCAATCATCCTTGGGGCTTGCATGAGGCACTCAATAAATTAATGTTAACTACTGGAAGACCAAGACAAGGATCCAATATGTTGTCCCAAACTGACCTACTTAACTAGGACTCCTCAAGGCTAAATTACATTCTAAAACCCCACAGAAGCCCCAGACCCATTCTGGGAATGTAAGACATGGTTCTGGAAATTTCTCAAGTAACTTCATTCCACAGAGGTCTAACAATTAGGTCTAAAATCTTGGGATTCCATGATTTATGTACAAAGCATCGTGCTCACTGCAGTAGAGGTGGGGAGATGGAGCAAAGATACCAAGAATATTTCCTGATCTTACGTACTACATTCTGGGGGCCACAGGAGGGTGCACAGAAACTCAATCAATTCACGGATTCCTCAGATTCCGACTCACGTTTCTATCACCTGACAGCTCAAACAACAACAACAAAAGGGCTTAGTTATACCAGCTAGAGAAACTGAGAACTAGGACCACTCTATTTTCAACCGGTCTAGAGCAGTGCTTTGCAAACATTACTCTTTCCAATCTTCCTTACACTGATTGGAACGTATGTGCCTCTCGTTTAAAGCTTTGGCTCAAACTCGGCTGGTTTGGAAAGGAAAAAAGAAAAGCCTCAACAAGTCAACAATCCCCCAACGCCCGCTAGAAGACTCAGGAGACCCGGGGATCGGGCGGAAAGCCCCGGACTCCCCCGACTGCGGGGTGGCGCGGGCACGGGCCGCCTCGGCCCCGCACCAGGGGCGCGGCCACTTCCTCCCTCGTTCCCGCCCCCCACCCACGCCCCGCGCCTCCCCTCGGCTCCGGCTCTTCAGGGGGCGGGCGAACAGCGATACCTGGAGGTTGGGCGAACTGGATGCCATGGCTGAGATCCGAGGCGGTTCCCCGTAAAGGAACGAGGGCAAAGGAGGCCAACCACTGGATGGCGAGTCGCCCCCGGTGTTTCCTCAAACGTGAGCAGGCTGGTAGCTCTCGGACCGCAAGTGGCGGCCTCCCTCCTGGAATCTCTTCCAAAGCAGCACAGCGACCAGCAGCCTGCAGACCCTCTTCCCCAAACTTCCGCAATCCCGAAACCCTCCGGGCTCTCGCCCCGCCTCTCGCCTCAGCACTTCCGCTGGCGTCGTCAGCCCGCGCACCACCCAGTCCCCAGTCATCCCGGTCTCGCCTGCTCTCCTGGCATCGCGAGGCCCAGAGAGAGAGGTCACTGAAGCCCGCCGAGGCCTGGCGGAAGTCAGGCGAGGCGCAGGCGCACTGCGGCTTCCGGCCTAGGGGCTGGGTAGCCATCCGGATTGAGGAAGCATTCCATTTTATTTGTTGTTTTTCCCCAAATGTCTTATACATTGAGAAGAGTTTGGGCTCTGGCACCATTCACTCCACATCATTAAGCGTTCTCTGTCGCTC